TTGTGGTGTCTCCTGTAATGCTTCTTTTTTTTTCTTATTTTATTCAGCTATTTATATTATTGATAAATATTCTTTTATTTCATTTTTTATTATTATTTGTTTAGTAATATTTTTTAATCTGTGGTATTATAAAATGACTTATTTCAGATAAAATTATAATATTCACTATATATTTTATCTTTTGTATTATCTTCAACAACATACCTATAAAGTTTCTATTTTTTTTGTAATAATGTTCTTAGGATATTGTAAAATATTATAGTTATAACACTCTGAAACATTTATTTCATATTCAGTAAATGTATGTAGTAATGAATTTTCAAGTAATTTATTTTTTTTGTGTTTGAGAGTAAGATGAGTAATATCTCAATAGTTTATGTTTTACTAAAAAAAAACCTTCAAGTCAGTAGTTGTGAAATTTCATTTTTAAATTTAGTTTCGATTCGTATATGTTATATATCTACTTATACATATTTTAATAATTTATTTGTGTCATTAATAATTAATCTTCTTGTATGATATTTTCAGTATAATTAATGAACTATGGTGCTATTATAATATATACCATACTTATTATATTGTTTGTTATTGTTTGTTATTACAGAAGATAATTTTTATGTGAAAATAGTCTTTTTCATAAAAATTCATTTAAATTCTTTCGTAAAATAATAAAAATCAATTTTTCTAATCATTAAACCAACTAATTCAAAGAATATTCCAAATACTTAACAATTAAATGTTCAATAAATTAATCTTCATTTTTCTTCAGTTATCCAATAATATTTTATACCAAAAACAATATAATAAAAACGCCCAATTATTACTACCAAGTTCAGACAATTTAGTTAAAAAAAATAACCAACTCAGTGTGTCACAGTTAAGTGTATTTATGAAAATTTTATTTTGGTTGTAATGTTTAGATAATAAAGTCTTGAATCAAGTGGTATAAGAAAAAAGAACTAAAATGAAAAAGTTAAAAATCTCAGAAAAAAATAATAAAAAAATGAAGAAACAAAGCATTAAGGTTAGCAAAGAAACTTCAAGAATATTATTACAAAATCAGCCAATTCTCTCTAACATTGAAAAGGCACTTCAACTAGAACCTCAGAGTTTAAAGTTCGTTCAAAAACAATTTATATGTTATGAACCTGATCCAAAGAAACTAAAAGATGTAATTCCTTTACTAAAAATTGAATTAAATAAATATATTGGATTTACTGCTAAGTTTCAATTAGAAGGAGAAACTACAGTACAGTCGCTGCTCAGCCATTTACTAAGCCTTAGATTTCGTTTCCCTTCTACATCTGATTTACGTTTTGTTCTTTTATCAGAGAATAAACGTCAATGTGAATTTTATATTTACGGTTTGTTAAAATTTTAAATATTCAATAAGTAATGTATTAAAATATGACATACAAAAAGAAAATAAAATATTTAATTGTTGTAGGCACAAAACCAAATTCTATAGAAAAAATTAAACATATGATTGGAAAAGAATCACCAATCATTTTCGAGGAATACCAACGGTTTCATCTCATTCCTTCTTTAGTTCATAAAAATTATTATCAATTATTCAATCTTGTGGACCAATTAAATTTAACAACAATTCCTCAAGACTTTGAAGAAGGAGTTGTTCCAACTGTATATGGAACTAGAGGTTATATGAAAGAATTTAAAAAACAAGTAGATAAAATAGAAGTTGCAATGGTAGAAGTCATTAAAATAAAAACAAAAACAACAATAGGAATGATAGAAAAGAATTATTTTGATGATAAATTTGATGAGATGGTATCTAAAACAATGAAAACACCACCAGGGTATTGGTGTATTTTCACTCAAAGTGGAAAAACAATGCATTGTGAATTGCATGTAGAAAAACAATTTGCTCAACACATTTTTATTAGTCTTACTGGATTTTTTGATGGAATAAAAAAATTAAAAGTTAAATCAAATCTTAATGGAGATGATGTATTAATTTATAACAAATATTTTACTACTTTCCCAGCTCCTATGAACTGTTATTTTGAAAAAGTAAAGACCCCTAAAACTAACAGTTATGATATTTTCGCTATAATCACAATTAACAAAGACATTAATCCAACTGTAACAGATGATTGGGAAAAAAAAATTACTGAATACGTAGAACACATCAAGTTTAAAACTGATGATGAACAACCTCCAAAACCTCTTAACTCTGAAAAAAGCAAAGTACGAAAAAGTTTTATTTTAGTTCAACCACCCGTTTTACAAGACAAAGCCCCAATAAAAACGACTGGTTTAAAAGAAGAAAGTCAAGTAGTCACTGAACAAAAGTCCTATGACAAACAACCATTAACCCAATCTCAACCTTCAGTTATACAACCAACTACTACACCAAAACCAAAAGAAGAAACCCAACAAGACAAGAAAGAAGAACACTTTGAAATATCTACAATGGAAACTCCAAAAGTTAATTCTGATTCAAAAATCTTAGCTACGTTATGTGAACAAGGAAATACAAACCAATTTATTCCTAGAAGACCAGCAATGGCGAACTCAAATAGAAAACCCCCATCAAGAAATTTACTTGAAAAACATAAGAAAATGAGAATTGAAACTAATGCTAAAGATGAAAAATCATCTACTTCCAATAAACTTAGTAGTAATGAAAAAAAAGAAACAAAAACAGTACCTAAAATGCCTGTTGGAGGAGGGGCTGTTCCTGTCGTTAGCTTAGCTGATTTACAAAAGAAGACATTAAAAACAAATAAAGGAGGAGTCTCACCAAAAAGTAAAGTAAATTCATCAAAACAAGAAACTGAACTTGAAAAAGTATTAAAGGCACATCAACACAAATAACAAAATTTTTTTTAATATATTAAAAATTCGATTTACTGATTGATTTATTATTAAAATTTTAATTATTATAATTCTTCTTTCAATAATACTTTCTTTCCATTGTCTCTACTAATTAAAAAATAACTATTTTTAATTAATGAAAATTATTAAAATAATAGTTTATCTAGATTGTATAATAGTTCTACACTTTATTGAGTGTTTTTTTTACAACATTCATTTTTAGTTATGTGTTGGCTTTTATTCTTCACATACTTTTAATTAAAAGTACTTTTAAAAATATGATTCTCTTTTTTACTTTCATCCAAACATTTAATTATTTAAATGTTGTTATAAGATTTATATTATTGTCTATAGAAACTTCATAATTCCTTAAACATTATTTTAATTCATATTAAAATATAATGAACCAGACTATTACTAAATTATTAAGCATTTAATCCTTAATAAATACTATTGTTTATTTTCATTCCTTCAATTATTGATATTTATCTTTAATAATATCCATATATAAAACATATTACATTTTTTCTTTTCTTCCACTCGTTTTTCTATTTACAAGACTTTTTTATCTATTGTTAATACTCATATTTTTATTATTTTATATCCTACACTCTTTTTTTCAATTTTCAAGTACTTCCATTCATATTCTTTCTTCTGTTTTGTGCAATATCTTAGTTAGTTTTATCAAAGTTTCTAATTCTGTCACACCATTTCTCATCATTGTTTATTTAGTATAATAACTTTATCGATAGCACATTCTTTATTTTATTTAGATGTCTTTAGGTATTATTATCTTTTTATTATTATCCCTCTGTATTGTTCAATAAGTAATGTAATAAAATAAACATAAAAATTAAAAGACTC